CCCGGTTTCCCGCTTTTCCTCAAACCCCCTTTTTTTTCCTGGGGCCCCCTTTCCCCACCTTTTCCCCCCCCCTTGGGCCCCTCTTTCTTCCCCCCTGGGCGGCCCCCCATCTTTAAATGTGGCCCCCCCCAAAACCTGTGAAATTCAAACTTGCAAGGGTCAAAAGCCGGGCGCCCACTTTACCCTAGCAAAAAAAATGCTGCCCCTTTTGTGAAAAGGGGGCCCCTATTTTTCTGGGACTTGTCAACCCTGTCCCAGAAAAAACCACGGGGGGGGGGGAAGGGGGGGGGGGGGGGGGGGGGGGGGAGGGGGGTAAAGGGAAAACCAAAAACCCTTAAATTTTTTGCCCCTCCAAATTTTGGGCCTTAAAGAAAAAAAAAACCCCGGGGAACGGTTTTGGGGGGGCTGGGTAAACTGTCAAAATTTAGGTACCCTTCCCCCCCAAAGGGTCAATCCCTTTAAAAGGGGGGGGGAGGAACAAAGGCTTTAAAAACGGAACTTTCCCCCTTTTTGGGGGAGCACTTAATTTAAAAAAAATAAATTTTACGTTTTCTTCCCGGCAAGGGCTTTAAAAAAAAACTTTATTCTGGATAAACCCCCCAGTCCTCCAAGTAGTACTTATTTCTCTTTTTGAAGTATCCTACCTTAACCCTATCCAAGGTTCTCAAAAAAAAAACCTCAACAAAAACAGATCAAAACTCCCTAGACCGGTTTTTGAAGACAAAATGTGAGAATGAGCCTTTGTGCCCTGGCTGTGGGGCAAAGAACGAAGGAATCTTGAACAGTATTTCCTGTGGTTCCTATGGGAGTAGCCCTACATTAGAAAGAAAATCTTTTTCCTGGAAACTCCTCAACAGAATTTTGGAACATTGGCAGGTGATCGGCCCATCGTTGCTCTGGTGTTCCAGTAAAAAGAAATCACAACTCCATAAATTTCCAGATGAACCTAACATTAATATGAAGATTTCCTTTTCTTATTTTACCCCCAACATTGATGGCCACAGATATCACCATCCCAAACAATGGTCTCCTGGTGCCAAACATCCATGATTTCATTAAAATGGGAGTGCAAATGGAAGAAAAGTGCGGTTCCATTCCATTAAGCTAACTAAATTGGAGTATGGTGTCGGAAGCAGGGGAACGTTCCCGTTTTTGTATTAAGCTATACATACCGTTCTTCATCCGTGTGTTTGGTTTACGGCGTGTCCCAAACTGGCGGCCCTCCAGCTGTTGCCAAACTACAAGACCCATGAGGCAAGTTGCAAGATAGAACATATTCCTCCAGCCATTGCCCCTAGACCAGTGGTGTCAGAAACTTGCCGGCCCTCCAGCTTGTTGCCAAACTAACAAGTCCCCATCAATGCCTCTGAACATAGGGAGATACCTAGCTTGTAACAGACCAATCTTGCAATGCCTCATGGGACTTGTAGTTTTGGGGCAACCAGCAGCATGGCCATCAGTTATTGAACATCCGTTGCCCTAGAGTGAGTGGGATGAACGTATCTCCTACTCGCTAGCCAAAAGTATATTGACAGCATGATCTAAATTGAATCCAGGATGATATTTTGCCCAACACTTTCTACAGCCTGGCTCAACCAAAATCTTTTTATCATTAGACAAAGATGTCCCAACAGGCCACCCACTGAAGAGAAATCCACCAAGAAGTGCACAATATTCACTACCGTTTATCGCCAACTTAACCCTGTGAGGATAAATATAATTGGAGTTGCCATGACTGATTTGAGTGATGCGGAAACGTGGTAAAAAAAAGGGCATTGCGCTTGTGGTGCTCAATTATTTGTTAACGGCACCCCCAAATGTAAGTAGCAGTTGCATATGCTAGGTGCACCTTTTTCCACGCAACAAAGTAAACTGAAAGGACCTAATGTGTGCCGCCAAAATGCGCTTGGTCTCCAGTGCCAGAAAATGGTACTTGAGCTTCTCTGGCAGCCCATTCAAGTCAATTGGCTGTTGCACAAAAAATGTGCAAAAAAGTAGGATCGTCGCAAAATGATGACATCTCACAAGTGTATATGCAGCCTAGATGACTAAGGCTACGTTCACACAGCGCTGTGTTGCATGCGCCAGAGAGCGTTTGGGAAGCGTTTTTACCGCTTCCCAACGCCACTCTGCCAAATTCTGCACATTACAGCACATGGATGCTGTTCTACACTGGGAGATCTTTTGCGTTGTGGTTTGCGGCAAAACCGGACGCCTCCGGTCGAGTCAGGAGGCGTCTCGTCTATGGTGCCGCTCCGCAAACGCCCGGCCCGCCCTATATATAGCGTTTGCGGTGCGGTTGCGATGCGGTTTCGGGGCATTTGCGGAGCGGTAACACCACTCAAACTGCATTATAGGCATTTGTGGGGCGTTATTAACGCTCGGCAAATGCCTAGCAAACCGCCGCTAAACCGCACATGCGGCGTTTGCGGAGCGTTTGCGGAGCGTTTGCCGAGCGTTAAAAACACTCCGCAAACGCCGGACCAACGCTTGCCAAACGCTATAGGGGCGTTTGGCAAGCGTTGGCAAAACAGCCAAGTGTGAACGAGCCCTAATGCATGTAGGTATTCTGACCCTGGACTCAGGACAGTCAAAGACCTGAAAAAGCATGCAGCCCATTTAAGTCTGAGCTCCCATCCTGAAGAATTCTTCTAGGTCGATGACTTATGAGATAGTGAAGCACGGATCAGGTTGACAACACCCCAAAAACTGCACATTTAAAAACCAAAAATGTCAGCTGCTTTGTCTTACCACACGGGCTTCCTTTAAGGTACTTAGTCTTGTTTTCATAAAATTAGGGAGCGTACCTCTCCAAGTGCTACAAGAGCCTCAAAACACAGGCTTTCAAATACAGGCGTACCTCGGTTTACGAAGTTAATGCGTTCTGCGGGACTTTTTGTATTGCGAAACATTTGTAAACCAAAACGCGTTTCCCGTAGGAATGCATTGAAAACCAATTTTATCTGTTCAAAACTCTTTATAAAGTGCACTTTAAAGGCATCCTCAATACTGTACAGGGACATGATTAAAAAAAAATTTGTAAATGCATTGAAAACCAATTAATCCATTCGTATTGCAAAAAAAATTCATAAACCGAGCCATTATTTTCAAATACAGGCGTACCTCGTTTGTGAAGTTAATGCGTTCTGCGGGACTTTTCGTATTGCAAAACATTTGTAAACCAAAACGCGGTTTCCCCGTAGGAATGCATTGAAAACCAATTAATCCGTTCCGGAGTTCAGAAAACAGTAAAAAAAATTATTTTATCTGTTCAAAACTCTTTATAAAGTGCACTTTAAAGCATAAATACTGTACAGGGACATGATTAAAAAATTAATTCGTAAATGCATTGAAAACCAATTAATCCGTTCTGGAGGTCAGAAAAAAGTAAAAAAAAAAGTCTTATCTGTTCAAAACGCTTTATAAAGTGCACTTTAAAGGCATAAATACTGTACAGGGACATGATTACAAAAAAAAATTGTAAATACATTGAAAACCAATTAATCCGTTCGTATTGCGAAAAAAAATTAATAAACTGAGCCATTATTTTCAATGGATTTTCAGTCGTAAACCGAAAATGACGTTAACTGTGGCGTTCGTAAACTGAGGTACACCTGTATTGTCTTCAGCCTTTTCTGTGCCTTGCTACTGGCCCACCATGGTGATTGGCGTCAGGAACTTCACTAAAAAAAAGTCTTTAAAGGCATAAATACTGTACAGGGCAGGGGCGGACTGACCATTTGAGAACTCGGCACCGCCCAAGGGCCCGGGGTCAGTAGGGGGCCCCGAGAAATGCCCCTGGTACCTTTATAGTCTTTTTTTGAGTGTGGGCAAGGACACAGGGGCCCCATGATCCCCTATTGCCCGGGGGCCCCATGAGTTGTCAGTCCGCTCCGGTACAGGGACATGATTAAAGAAAAATTTGTAAAAAAAGAGTCTTATCTGTTCAAAACTTTATAAAGTGCACTTTAAAGGTTTAGTACTGTCCAGGGACATGATTAAAAAAAATTGTAAATGCCTTGAAAACCAGTTAATCCGTTCATAAACCGAGGCAATATTTTCAATGGATTTTCATTCGTAAACTGAAAATTACATTAACTGAGGTTTCGTAAACAGAGGTACGCCTGTATTGTCTTCAGTCTTTCCTGTGCCTTGCTATTGGCCCACCATGGTGATTGGCGTCAGGAACTTCACTAAAAAAAAGTCTTTTAAGCAGGATCTAAGCCTCAATCCTGGGTTGTAAGACTAATGCACCCCTAACCAAACTACATACCACTTCATCTAATTTGCTCCACCTGATACCAACCCAACAATGCAGGTAAACCGCAGACACCTACCTCCACCTTCTGGGGCTCATTAACCACTTGCCTACCAGGCACTTATACCCCCTTCCTTACCAGGCTAATTTTCAGCTTTCAGCGCTGCCGCACTTTGACAATTGCGCGGTCATGCAACATTGTACCTATATGAAATTTTGATCATTTTTTTCTCACAAATAGAGCTTTCTTTTGGTGGTATTTAATCGCCACTGGGCGCTTTACTTTTTGCGCTATAAATAAAAAAAGTGCAAAAAATTTGAAAAAAAAAAAAAGTTTATTTTGTTTCTTTTATAACATTTTTCAAACAGGTATTTTTTCTCCTTCACTGATGTGCGTTGATGAGGCAGCACTGATGGGCACTGATAGGCGGCACTGATGGGCACTGATAGGCAGCACTAAAGGGCACTGATAGGCAGTACTAATGAGGTGGCACGGATAGGCGGCACTGATAGACAGCACTAATTAGGGGTCACGGATAGGCGGCACTGATATGCAGCACTGATAGGCGGCACTGATAGGTGACACTGATTATGGGTACTGATAGACGGCACTGACTGGCATCACTGCTGGGCACTGACTGGCGGCACTGACTGGCACAACCCCTGGCACTGACTGGTGGCACTGACTGGCAGCACTGCTGGGGCTGCACTGGTGGGTGGCACTGGTGGGCAGCACTGGTGGGTGGGCACAGGTGGGTGGCACTGGGGGGCACAGGTGGGTGGCACTGGTGGGCACAGGTGGGTGGGCACAGGTGGGTGGCACTTCTGGGCACATGTAGGTGGCACTTCTGGGCACAGGTAGGTGGCACTGCAGAGTGGCACAGGTGGGTGCACTGCTGGGCACAGGTGGGGGCACTGCTGGGCACGGGTGGGCGGAGCTAGTGGGCGCACTGCAGGGCGGAACTTGCGGGTGTCACTGCTGGGCACCGATCATCAGGGCACTGATCATCAGTGCCCTGATGATCGGTGGCGATCCCCGCTCTGACAACTGCCGGTTCTCGGCAGTACTTTCCTCATGATCTGACAGCGTGAGGAAAGTGCAGCCGAGAACCGGCACTTGCATTTCCCTGTGATCAGCGTGTCATTGGACACCGCTGATCACGTGGTAAAAGGCCGCTGTGATTGGCCTTTTACCACATCACGTGATCAGCTGTGTCCGTAGGACACAGCGATCACGCAGATCGCCGGGTGCGCGCCCCCTGGGGCGTACAGGAGAGCGCGTTCTGGGAGGACGTCATATGACGTCCACCCAGAACTGGCCGGCCGCAGTGCAGCCGTCATTCGGCTATCTGCGGTCGGCAGGTAGTTAAATGATCATACCTACCTTCTGCTCTACTTGTATGTACTGTAGAGTTCATTTATAAATAAATAAGCAGGAAATGGCAGGCTGGATTGTCAAGTAGTTGTGGCAAAGGCCGTGTTAAGTGGAAGAACGTATATCTTATCTGCTTAATGGATAACCGTCCTTAAAACACATTAGCTCTATTAGTATATCCAAAGATTGAAAATAAATTCTCTATGCCCATGCTATGAAAAATAACCTCTAACCTTTGCATTTACTATCCTTGTGCTCAGGGGCGGACTGACCATTTGGAAACTCGGGGCACTGCCCGAGGGCCCGGGGTCAGTAGGGGGTCGCATGAGATGGCCCTGGTACCTTTTTAATAGGCTTTTTTGAGTTTAGGCAAGTACACAGGGGCCCCATGATCCCCTATTGCCCGGGGGCCCCATGAATTGTCAGTCCGCCCCTGCTTGTGCTACAAAAACCTCTATTACAGGCTCAAGCTGGAGCAAACGTTTCTCTGTTTACACCAGGTGCGAACTGACCATTTGGAAGCTCGAGCACTGCCCGAGGGCCCGGGGTCAGTAGGGGGCCCCATGAGATGCCCGTGGTACCTTTTTCATAGGCTTTTTTTGAGTTTGGGCAAGGAGACAGGGGCCCTATGATCCCCTATTGCTCGGGGGCCCCATGAGTTGTCAGTCCGCCCCTGGTTTACACTCTGCATATTGTTTAGTAACTGCTAAGAAAAAGAAAGGAATCAGGCCAACATACCCAAATGATTAATTCGGTGTGTGAGGAGCCATCAATGCTGATTTCTGTGCTGCAGTGCATTCATGTAATAGTTGGAGATCATAAACTGCTACAGGCATGTAAGCACCTACCCACTCTAAGGGCTCATGTACACTGCAGCTGATAAACTCACGTTTAGGAGCTTTTCTGCATTTGTTTTCAGCAGCCCCTGAACTCTCCCTAATGTTTTCTTATTTGTCCATGTACACATCGTCCTTTATAGCCAGTTGAGTTTACAGGGGTTTTTTTTTCGAACGCAGAAACCTTCAGGAGTAGATTTTATCAGCGTTTCAAATGCCAAACGCTTGTAAACGCAGCTAACCGTGTTTATAAGCGTTTGCAAAATTTTTTTAACTCTTCCATTTCCAGATGCTGTCCAGAGACTTTTTTCATCATGAAAAATGCATACAAAGCGTTTTCCCCGGTACTCCAATGGACCCGGTACACCAAACTTTGAGGTTTCGCATGAAAGAAAATATGTTAGATACTGCTGCAATAATTTCTGCACAGAAATGAGCCGGAACACATCCAAACACCATGAAAAAAAAGACAGCTAATCTCAACACATACTGCTCTCTCTGCTTCTGCTCTCTCTATTTCTCTCAAAATGTCTGAAATAGTTAATTTTTTACTGTTTTTCAGTGCACTCTGAGCATTTTCGACGGACTCCTGAGGTTTCTTAAAAAACGCTTCTAAACGCAAACACTCATAAAAGCGCATAAACGCAGTATGCAAACGGTATTTTAAAAACAGACGGTTTTTTACCCTACGTTTTCCAGCAGTCAGTTTCCATCGTTCAGAAGTGTCCCGTGTACAGAGAGCCTAAGTCCTCATGCACACGGGACATTTTTACAGCGGCTGTTTTTGGCTTTTGACTTTTTTTCTACAGCCAGTAAACCCCCCAGCATGTTATCCTATGTGTCCATACACACATAGACTGAAATCAACATTTTTTGGCTGGGATTTTTTTTGGCTGGAAAAAACCCCCCAGAACTAGTGAGTTTCTAGAGGCGTTTTTTAGCAGTAAAAATGTTCTAACGCTGAAAAACGCAGCAAAACGTGGTAAAACGCTGTAAAACACAGCAAAAACGGCGTCTTTGGACTTTGTTTGACCAAAAAAAAAACCATTTGGGGGGTATAAAGAGCTAAAGAACACAAACGCAGAAAAACGTGAGAAAACGCTGCTAAACGTGTCAAAACACTGCTAAACACACTAAAAAAAGCTGGAAAAAAATCACATTTTTAACGTGACTTTACACAGCTAACATTACCAGAGTTATGAAAATGTCCCGTGTGCGTGAGGACTTACAGGCAGCACCAGCATATGTTTAGCTCTAGTGATGACAGCATGCCTCCAGACCTGGAACAGGAAAGGCTTGCTTCTAGATGTGCGTTCTGTTCTCCGCAGCTGGCTATCTGGGATCATACACAATGGAGGTTAGACATGGTTTGGCTAAGCTCACGCAGGAGTTGCCTGCTGTTAGCAGTCTGTGATCTCTTTTGATTACATGAGTGCACAGCGGCAAAGTTTGACTCTAAAGACATTGAGGTGGATTTACTAAAGGCAAATAGACTGTGCACTTTGCAAACACAGTTGCTCCAGAATTTGGTAAATGAGGGGAACCTCCTGCTGACTTCCATCATCCAATCATGTGCAAACAAAAATGATATTTATTTATTTTTTTTGCATGTGATTGAGTATTCTTTACAAAGTGAAGCTTTATCTCATTTACTAAGCTCTGGAGCAACTGCACTTGCAAAGTGCACAGTCTATTTGACTTTATAAATCAACCCCATTGACGCAAACAGGTATGTGGAGCAGATGAGAAGAGGCGATTAAGGGGAGATATGATCTCCATGTATAATACATGAGGGGGGGATATGATCTCCATGTATAATACATAAGGGGGGATATGATCTCCATGTATAATACATAAGGGGGGATATGATCTCCACGTATAATACATACAGGGGGGATATGATCACCATGTATAATACATAAGGGGGGATATGATCTCCATGTATAATACATAAGGGGGGATATGATCACCATGTATAATACATAAGGGGGGATATGATCTCCATGTATAATACATAAGGGGGGATATGATCTCCACGTATAATACATAAGGGGGGATATGATCTCCATGTATAATACATAAGGGGGGATATGATCTCCATGTATAATACATAAGGGGGATATGATCTCCATGTATAATACATAAGGGGGATATGATCTCCATGTATAATATATAAGGGGGGATATGATCTCCATGTATAATACATAAGGGGATATGATCTCCATGTATAATACATAAGGGGGGATATGATCTCCATGTATAATATATAAGGGGGATATGATCTCCATGTATAATACATAAGGGGGGATATGATCTCCATGTATAATACATAAGGGGGATATGATCTCCGTGTATAATACATAAGGGGGGATATGATCTCCGTGTATAATACATAAGGGGGATATGATCTCCGTGTATAATACATAAGGGGGGGATATGATCACCATGTATAATACATAAGGGGGGATATGATCACCATGTATAATACATAAGGGGGGATATGATCTCCATGTATAATACATAAGGGGGGATATGATCTCCATGTATAATACATAAGGGGGGGATATGATCTCCATGTATAATACATAAGGGGGGATATGATCTCCATGTATAATACATAAGGGGGGAAATGATCTCCATGTATAATACATAAGGGGGGATATGATTAGAGATGAGCGAAGAAATGAAAAATTCGATTCGACTGATTCGGCGAATTCGTGGACAATATTCGATTCGAGTCGAATAAATTCGCTGTGAATTTAACTTAAAAAAGGGTGTTTCTAGGCTTCAGAGAGACTTAATATTAGTGCAGAACACTGTACCTTTAATTTAAATGCCCTTGGAGTCTGCTGGGGAAGAGAAATAATACTGTCTGTCAGTATGACATGCAGATGAGTGCCGTCGATCTTAGAATCACTGCACACTTCACTCCTTTGGCCAGTCACGGGGCCAAAACCA